TCTGTGGATGGTCATTTTTCAGGTCCTGGCACAGTTGATCTACTGGAATATCTACAGGATGATGGAAGTAGGACCTGGAGACAGGTCTTATTCCATGGTTTTCCCAGTAGATTCTGCTGTCTCAGACCCTGCAAAGGACCACATGGACCCTGAAAACCACCAGGTGGTAGCTGAGAATCAGTCTTAGACTTGGGTCTATCTTCACCGTTATCTGTTAGTCTGCAGAGTCGCCTCACTGTTCCATCGTTCCCCCCCCGTTCTGAACGTCGACACCCTCGAAACGCACGTCCCAAGGGACAGAAATCCATCGCTTTGGTGCCCTGCCTTAGTTGAAACGCCACAGTCAGTGGGTGCAAACCCAATCCTTCCAGCAAAGTGCTCACAAGATCGACCTCCACCCATCAGTCCCTTCCTGTTCATTCTGTTCATCGTTAAGGGTAGGGTCCGGTAGGGTGGTGGCCCACGGCCATTTTTTCAACACAGGCCACCAAATGCACAAAGGGTCTCATGTGGTCAAAGCATGGTCAAACTAAGCATCACCGAGCATATCATGCTAATCCTGCACTCATGCTGGGAAGAAATCGATGGTACCAGTGACCGAGGCTGTTTTCTCTGAGCAAAAAAGCCAGGTCTCGTTGGGTTTCTCTCTTTCGGCCAACCAAGCTCCCAATTGGCAAGTCGGTCGAGCGGGAAGTACTTGGACCGTCCACCGCTGCTCAGCGGTGCTGGGAAAGCTTTTTTACGAGCCGCGTGGTGCTGTGGTGCTGATTCGTGGCAAAGGGGGGGCCTAAAGAATTCATGTCTCTCTCTCTCTCTCTTCACTCTAGCATTCTCCCTGTACACCATGCGCCATGAAAATCATGAAAGGAACACCAGCAACTATACCAACTGGGACTTGATTGAACAAACAAAGTCCACACAGACCATCTGTGTTGACCATCTGTGCGAAGACAAATGCTACAAGTCCCAGTGGGTGACTTGGTGGGTAGGGCACCATGCGCCATGATGGAAAAACCCCGTACGGTCCGCATCCTGACCAAAACCAACCAGAAACGACCTGCAAAAAGAGGATTGAGTTGGATTGTAAATAGTAGAATGATCATGAATCAATAGTAGAATAGTAAATGTAAGTAATAAGTAGAACCTAGTAGAATGATTAGAATGTGTCAGGTGGCTTCGATCTGCGTCGGCCAATCCAACCACCCTCGAACCTACTGCCCTGACCTGACCTGACCTCCTCGACTCTTGAGGCTTCAACATCCTCGCAACGTACTGCCGCGTTTCCCTGTCGGAAGGTGCAAAGTCCCTGACATTGTGGAATGGATGTGGTAAACAGCACCAGCAACAACAACAACAACAAACACCAACAAACCCCCATCGATCCCCCCGATTTGGTACCTGGTACCTGGTAGGGGGGGGGCGCTCCTTTCACCGTCTCGGCCGGGTTGCAGCGTGGTGAAGATTTCGGGCTCCCGAAAGAGAGGTTCCCAATCATCACCTCGACCGGCTTTCGGACATACCGAGGCCGACCGGAAGCACCAAAGGGTATGAGACTGGAGGGTCTGCAGCTGCCACTGCTTTCCCATGTGCGCCTCCAGTGGAGACGCGCTTGGCCAGGACAAATTCCAGCTCGCCGCCGGCCAACAGTTCCTGTGCGGTTTGGCTGTGTTTGGTGAGAAGAAGTGACGTTGCTTTCAGGAACCGGGGAAACACACATCCACCGATGGGGATTCACCCAAATGGGAGATGGGACAAAGGGATCAGTCTGATGGTTCCATCCTATCACACTCAGGCCAAGGTTTAGGTCGGTTCGACTTGAAATTGCCCGCCAAAGGACGTGTTGGATAGCTGGATGTTCACCTGCTAAAGGATGATTCACATTCCAAGAGCTTGGAAGTATAGTGGATTGAGAGTAGATGGCACAGACCCCAAGAGGTGGTTTATATATGTTTATATGGACCCCCATCCAAAGGACATCATGGGGTCTGTGCCATCTACTCTGAAACCACTCTAGTATTGCATCATGTTGCCAAGTCTTGTCAACATGACAGTACGAGCGTGGCTGATCCACTGTACACCTTTCTGAGAGCATGGCATTGCCAGCTGTTTTACATGCTGTGTCATCTTCTTCAGCCGTGGCTGATGTCACCCCAAGAACACCAACACCAGCTGTCCAAAATGCCAGCTGCCTCGAGCCCCGTGGCGGATGGACGTCCCAAGTGGTAGGTGTCGTCCCTCAGCGCCCTTCGGAGGGTTGACCATGTTCCAGGCATTCGGACGTGTCTTCTTCAAAGGACCAGTGGTGTCGTTGGCCAGGGAGTTGGCCAAAGGGATGTTCACCTCCCTATAGTCTTGGGGTCGCAGGTTCCCCAAAGCGTTCCCTGCATGCTGTAAACCCATCGCGCTTCTTCGGAGATGTGTGGCACCCAAGAAAACACCTGACTGAGCCCACCCCGTGGGCTGGGACTGTTGTGCACCCCTGTGCACCCCTGGTGTTTCCATCCATGTGGCATGGACTGGCCACCGGCTAAACTCAAGAATCTGGCTTCAAACGAACAAGGATGCATCGCTTACAACACTCTGACTATCTCTAACTCTATCCACTTGTATGGCTTGTCAGGTATGTCCAATGTACTGACCATCAGTGAATGCTGGATCCCCACAAGGCAAAGCTCCCTTGGATCCTGATGGAAGAACTGAAGCTTCCTTTCCGAACATCTGCCACCCAAGACATCAACCCTCCCCCCTCACAAAATCACCCAGGGCCGAGCATCCATCTTCTGATTCCTGAAGCCGAACGACCAAACAACACCTTTTCGCTAGTAGTAACAAGGCTTGCTATTAGAAACAAGTGCCTTACTAGTAGTAACAAGTGCATCGCTTCGTTCGTAACAAGTGCCTTACTAGTATTCACTCCTTGGCTCATGGCACTGGTGTTCACGAGGGCCAGAACCACGGTTGCCATGGCACTGGTGTTGGACGAGTCGAGAGGTCACCCAACCAGTATCTGTTAACCCGGGCGATCCAAACGGGTGCACCATCCATGACCCACAACTTCTTCAGTTCGTGACCAGACTTGAAGTCTTGAAGGGTTCACCAATAGAAGTACTCCTCAACCAGGACCCTCCTGTCACACGGGGTGTCCTGGCTGGACTACCCCACACTAGCGAAAAAGGCTTCCAGACAGGGCACCCCGTGTTTAGAGGGTCCTGGCATCTCAGACTGGGTGTCTTCCCCGTCTCAACTGGGCCCGTTGGGATCGCCGGTGGACCTGGCGACCTGGCGACCCTGCTTGGGGTGTGTGGGTCATGGCACTGCTTGACCCTGCTTAACCCCGGATCAATTGAACAGAGTCCTTCCTCCGATCTACGGATGTCACAAGTCCTTTTCATGATTTTCCAGGTGAGAACACCTCTTAATCCACAGCCACTTCCGGTGGATCGAGTTGCTATAGCTCCTCGCGCTTACTTCGCCGGGCTGGCGATCGCACGAGTCGTTGGGCGTAGCGCCGGCGAACCCTGACACAAACGGTGGCTTCCCCGGTAGCTGGTCGGCCTGGGCACCGTTTTGAGTGGCTGAATGTCTGATCCCGTGGACCGACTGGGCAAAGGACCGGACCCACTTGGAGTGAGCCGAGGGCATGGGGGGCCATCCACCCCCAGTCCAAGCAAGCCCGACGGAGACCTAGGATTAGAGTGGGAGTATCAGCTGGATCCACTGGGCTAGTGATTTGCAATATCCTCTCATGGTGAGGCTCTGAGGCCTGAGACAAATGACGAGGGGGCAGTTGAACGATTCAGCATCAGCTCCAACCCCGAGTTGTCGACCTCGACCAGTTGCCACGAACCATGGACGTTGGACGCCCATCTCCACGAAGCCGTGTAAATCTGGTGACCTCGTTCAGTGGTTTGTTTGAACAGAGTATTAGTCAGTGATAGTCAGTGGGTTGCATCATCCCAAGTACTCAATTAAAGGAAAAAAGATGTTGAAAAAGTTGAGAACAACTGACACCACTACCATCCACCACCCACCCTCCAGCGCGTGCGTGACGGGCGTGATTCCATCACCCAAGATTCTCGAAGTTCCGGAGCTCTGCTAAGAGCCGGCCACACAGTGCGCGGGGGGCCGCACTTCAGACCTTGCTAGCTGTTTCTGGTGATCCAATCAGCATCTCCCAGCAGTTAAAAGCTAAGGGTGTGACATGACATATGGATACAACAGTGAATTATGGATTGATATAGTTTCAATAGTCATCGAACATGGTATGTTTGTTTTGTAAAGAAACGATATATAGAATCCAACTTTAGTCTAATGCAATTAAGGATAATTAAGGCAATATTAATTCTGGGTTTGGTGGTTCCCATGACCAGGTACCACGTGGGTTGTGTGCTTTGTAATTGTTTAAAAAAAAACAACGTGTGATAGACAAGGGATGTCATTTGGAATCAGCAAATAAACAATAAACATAACCAATTTCCAATGGCAAAAACCAATTAGGGAGAAACCAAAGAAATATCAATGGTACAGGACAGGCAACGGTCGACTCAGCAAGTAAAAGCTCTAGCAAAATTGACATCTAATCTGTGGGAAAATGTCAGGCAAAATGAGACCTGAGCTTATTTAGAGGTTATATATATGTTTTGTTTTTGGAGTTGTTTTGCTGTATTTGGGGTCGGTAAGTCCACTAATCAAAAGCTGACTGCACACCATCCGTGCTTCTCTCACCACATTCACTTGTATATCATTTGTATATCATATATGTGGTCACGAACAAGTAAAACATGTTAATAATATATGTAATAAACTAACAAGCTGATGACATTTAAAACAAAAAGCACACGCTGGGCGAACCTTCACGCGTCTCCCTGGTGCCCACCACATGTGAAACCATTCCAAGTGGCCCTCCATCTCGCAGTACACGCGGCGGACCACGATGCCTTTCCTTGGGACAAGCAGAACAACATATCTGCAGCTTAAATGCACTTCGTTGGCACAAACGTTTAACAACTGACACTGGAATCATCATGGAAGTGGAGCTCACCACCTGTATGGTATTCGGAATCATCCACAAACGTTGAAGAACCGATTCCTCGTCTACACTCCGATGTCCAACAGCCCCGGGAGGTTGCGGAGCTTGAGTTCCTCAGTGCCAACTGCTTGATCCACACCGGATCAGGATATGGATCGGTTGTGGGTTTTGGTTTTGGGTAGCCCGAAGGACACGGCCGACATGCAAGATCTGCTCCGGGCGTCTCGGGCCGCGAGGCCCAGGGCAAGATCTGCTCTGTGGACCAGTCAGGCGCCAGCCGCGCGTTGGGGCAGCCCGCGGCGCCAATCTCCTGTGCGCTCGCGCAGCGGAGTGGAGCGGAGCTGTGGGCAGCGATGGCCGCTGCGGTCGGCGCTTCCGCCGGTGTGGGAGAGATGTTTTGGGTGTGGTTAACAGTTGAACATGTTGGGACAAAAAAAACAACAAGCACACAATCTGGGTTGTGAGGCGAGAGTTCCGAGGGAATAGCTTCAAGACGTTGGAACTTAACCCGCGAAGGCCATGAATGACCCTCATCAGTTGCCTTGTCAAGACTGTTGGACATCGGGCAAAAAACTGCAACAACGTGACAAACACTTCAGAGCTTCCTCCGACTGTGAGCTTCATCCTTTCGCCACCTTCTAGGATCTCACGCCCCAAATCGGGCCACACTCTCAAAGCAATCGTATCCAGTGCGACGTAACCTCTCAACTAGAGAAAGTGTGAAGCACCATTTGGGCAGTACCTGCAGCTGTTGGTGCTAAGCTTACCTGGTGGTGAGTTCACCCAATGACGTCACGTTTCGTGGCATTTTGTGGCGCGGAGCTGCGCAGCACTGCGGCTCGCGCAGGCGGACGCCGCAGGCGCTGTCTGTTCACGCACGTCTTACGGCGTAGCCAGCGTGGGCGAGGGGCTGGCGTCGTTATCTGGTGAATAAAGGCAAAGAGGCCAGACATCATCTTGGTGCAGCATCCAAAAGAGCCATGGGCCATTTGAGACAAAGAAGACAGCAGAGTCATCTCAGCTGAGCATTTAGCCATCGGAAACAAAGAGAGACAAAGCAGAACCATCCACAAGAGCCACTGGAGACAAAGAGTGACAAAAGGAGCCAATACAACGGCTATAGACTTAAATCGCCCCCTCTTCCTCTCGTTCTGCTTTCTTCGTCGTGGTATCGTTTCATCTCGTCTTCCGGCCTTAGGGATCACCATGATCTTTTGCTTGGCACCTGCGGACCGACAGACCGACCGGACCGGAAATCGACAGCTTCGTCCTGTCAGCCCCAGACGTCCAGTCCATCCGACCCGACGTTTGAAACCGGGAACGACCATGGGAACGCGCCGCGTTAGATCCTATGTCAAACAATGGTTGTTCGGCAGATCTCACGGCCATCCTATGAGAAACACGGCCGCGTTGCATGGAAGCACGGCCTAGTGTCTGAGTGGGTCCACATCTCTGAACAGGTTCAAAGTTGAATCAGGTCGGCACAGCAGAAACAGCAGGCCTGGTTCGCTTCCCAAACACATGGCATATATATAAGGGATTGCAGCCCTTCCGTTCGAGCTTCAAAAGATGCTTGACCTGCTGTTTTTTTTTGGTAAGATAGCAAAATATTGGTTGTTTGATTGTTGTTTGGTAAGAATGATCAGCAATTCGTGGCTGGAAGGCATGGCCCAGGGGAAAACGTTTTTCCATCATGGATGCTTCTTGAGCGATTCCAAGGGTAGGCTACGAACACATGTCATGTTAGTCAGTCTAGAGAGAGAGAGAGAGAACGGAAAAACCAGCTGTACGGGGGCCAAGAAGTATGCTGCACCCCCAAAACTCAGTAAGCAAACACATGTCATGCTCATCTGGAGCTGAATTCATCCAACCACCCGATAGGTCCAGTTAGCACCACGCCAGGTGGCCATAAGCCAAAGCTCCAGAGTACATGAAGACGGGCTCCTGCTTGTGTCGCATGGGCACCACTTTCGACAAGCCCTTGCAGTGAAAGTCGCAGATCTCAAAACCTCGGCGGAGCTCGTGGTGTCGCTCGTCGGGTAGCACCAAAAACATCTCAGAAGGTGAGCTCCAGGGGTACCCTCAACGAATTTGGTGAGATTGGGATTGGGGTGCAGGCTCAAACCAGTGCCTTCACCATGGCAGAACCAGCAAGACCCACAAACGGTCGCAGAGGATTTCTGACAGCGGCCTTTGATGCCCAAACGGTTGCTTTGTCCCGTTTGGGCTCACAATATCTTCTGGGTTTGGAAGATATCTTCTGAGTAGGTACCTCAGTCGTCCAAGGGTAAAAGAACGACTATACGGACTATACACGCAGAAGACGACCTCGGGAGGTCGTCTACCATCGAGTCTATGATGCCTCAGAAAACAACACCTGGCACTCACACCTCGGTTTTGAGTGGGTTGGTTGGGACATCCTATCCAAGGAACCTGTTGGATCACCTGCACAACCTGTTTGGACGGTTTCCAGATGCCACGCACAAGCTGAAAAGATGGAAGATGGTGAACCTGATCTATTGGAGCTTCATTTTGAGCTCAATGCTCCAGTGTTCGTTTTTGCGTGCCAATCTGACTTCGATGATACTACAAGTCTCACTGGTTTGAGAGATAGAACAGGATAGAACAGGTAACCTTGTTCCCAGACAACTCCAAGTACTCCTGAAAAGGTCTATTTGGAGCAATGAGCCAATGGGACACACCACCTGAAACATTAAAACAAAACACTCAAATTGCTTGACTTCGAGGAGGAGGAGTTGACAGCTGTGATCAAATCTAATCCTCACCGACGGTGCCAAAATCGAAACGACCTACGCTTAACCTGCTCCGATTTGATTTCCAAACAAGGTTCCTCACATCACCAGTTGAAAGGCCGAGAATTAAAAAACAAACCGCGAGTAGCTGGGTCTGGGTCAAAGAAGATGGGTGGACGTCAGCCACGGTCAGGTCTGACTGACCCAGGTCGACCCTCAGGTCGGCAAGCAGCGGATGTATTCTCGTGCTTCTTCCTTCGCAGTCGTCTTCTGCGCTTGGGAATCTGCTTTCGGCTTGGCCGCCATGGCGCAGAGTGTCTGAAATATATGAAACAAGCTATAGCATGCTATAGCTCATAATTAAGTACTCAAGGGCTACGGCTATAGCAAGCATCCAAGGACCTACTTCGAGGCAGGTGATGGAAAGAAGGTTGTGCTCTTGTTCTCCGTAGCGTATCCAAAGAGCGTGCAGCTCTTGGCAATCTCAAGGAGGATCTTCAGATTAAATGATCTTCACACTATTTTTCATACAAATAAATACCCTTGCCTTCAAAGAACTTAAAAGCGTTTAATCCTTATTATAGTAAAACAACATGGTTCTTGGTATCATACTATGAACTGCATGCTTGGAATCTCAGGGTCTCTATACTCACAGTGGTGTAGGACGTCGGCAGTGTAGGAAGTCGGCCGCGGGCGATCCGGACCCACAGTGGACACGTCCAGGTCCGGCGGATCCGGAAGCGGACATCGTTTCTGCCAAATCACAACCAAAACCACCGTGGAGTCTGACCCATGCATGCCCCCTTGGTGTAAAGGACCTTCGTCGGTCTATGTAAATATATAACATATTATGAAATTGTTGGAGGCCGTTGCTGTGTGTAAGGAATCTCCTCCAAACATCAAGCAGTCGGCTCAGATCATTGCTGTATATGGATCACCCGGCTGCGACCTGCGTCGACCACCAGCCGCGACCTGCATCGCCTGGCTGAACCCCCCTGGCTGCGACCAGCTGACCTGCTGTGCCCCCTCCCTGAAAGGAACGGATCATCCAAATCCCACGTGGAATCCCTGTTCCTCCGATGTTTTTGGGGCCTCTGCTAGCTACTTTGGGGATGTACTGGATAGAGAGGAGACCATGAGGCGTGGACCTGAAGACACAAACCTGTGAGCTCTTGATCCCTGGGATCCCTGCAAAACAAAGAAACAAGTTGATGAAACCAAAACGAGTGAGATCAACCACTAACGTTCTCCTTTTCCCTTTGCTGTCACATTCAAAACAGCCGGCCCTCTTGTGTTCGCAAGTGATGTGAGGAATGATCAAAAGCGGACGTGAGCATCTCTCCCAACCAATCTGGGTCACAAATTTCTGAAACCTGACCTGACACACCTCGATGCTTCATGGCAAACTTGTCCCCAGCATTGAAGCGCAATGCCAAAGCCCCAACGCCCCCCTTCCTTCACGATGAGAGGTTGCAGGATATCTTCAACTGCGAAGCGTACCTGGCAAAAAATGGACACTCGCAAAGCAAGAACACCCAGGACTGTCTTGGAAGAGTGCGGACCCCCACAACTTTCGAGACAGGTTTGGAAATGTTTGGAAAGCGCTTGGAGGGAAATCTCATGTTTATGTACTTGGAGACCCCTAAATCATGACCAGCATGAGATATATTTGGCACAGATTGAACGACACGAATGACAAACAGGTACATAATATGGCACACCTCTATTCTTTCCTCTGCACAGACCCACCCTGTGGCATTCAGAGATCTAAGCAAGCATCATGCAAGCATCTAAAAGAAAAACGTGGAACCTCTTTGGTAGGTCACTGCAACATATTCCTGATTCGAGGGAACCATGCAGTAATCAACCATAAAAGGGAAGAATGAGAGGGAAAAGCTCCAAGAGCAGTTTAAACCTAATATTTAAGCCAAAATAGGTTAATTCTTGCTATGTTCCTGGGTGACTTGTTGGTTTTGAAGCTCTTCCCAGGTGACCCAATGTTGGACGTTTTCAGGGACCCCCTATTTAAAAAATGCGACCGAGCTTTCCTTATTGGGGGGGGCCGTGTTTTTCAACGGTGGATGGAATTATTCCAGTCCCATGGATGGTCTGGGTCCAGACACCCAAAAGTTTTGGCTTCTTCTCTGTGCCTTGCTGCTCGAGATGGTCTTGAGTTCCTCCAAGACCTCCGAAGACACCCGCGCGCCGTGCTCACCTCGTGGCAGAGCGGCTCGCTCGCTGTGTTTCCGAAGGCTGCGTGGATGCTTTGGATTTCTCAGTAGTGATAGCTTCCATGGCGGGGCTTTGCCAACAACAAAGCTCTGGCGGTGCGCAGCAATCCAGGTCGGGTCGCTTGTGTTGCCCATGCAAGAAAGCTCTTGGACTTCCGAACCAGTTTTCTGATACAACGACTCGGCCGTGTCAAACCAGCATGCCTCCAACCAAACCATAGAATGTTTACCAACAAGTGGATCCAGCCACCAAAAGGCTCCGAAACCGTAGACCGACCAGCGAAGCTGAACCGACGTCCGACTTTCGCTTCGCCCATCTGGCGACAGTGGCCGTCTTCCCTCAGTTGTTCTCCGGCGCCAGCACCGTTGGCCGGACACGGGAGTGAGAAACCCATCGACCCATCTGCGACCCCAGCGCCCCACCGGTGGGGGGGGAACCCCAATTGGTACTTCTGAGACGGACATCTCTGACCTGAACGGTGGGGAATGATCAAACATGATCAAACCCAGACCATGATGCCATGGGCAACATCCTACAACATCCTAGGGCCATGTTCAGGTAAATGTATGGAACTCTTCCAGTCCCATGGATGGTCTGAGACTCAGAGGCGTTCTCTGTAATTGCCTGTTTAGGTTAGGGCAGTTCTCGCATGTTCACACCAAAGGCTTACGGGGTGAACATTCATTCAACCATGCCAGGTTCCAGGCGGTCTGGAATGCAAATGATCAGGCTGTGCCACTGTAGCCGCAGCCAACTGCCAAGGCAAAAGGACCGAGGGGCGGAGAAGAACTAGACCATGCCACCTCAGTTTGGCTCCTTGGTTCCCAATGGATCTCAAAGGAAGCAGAGCTTGTAGGTCTATGGTTTCAGTCTTCGGAATCAGTGGGTGATTCCTCTCACAGGAGTCCAAAAATCCATTGCCCTTCGACTAGCTCCACCCGTCTTCATCTGAGTGCCCCCGGCTCAGCGCGCGAAGCCCACTGACGGAACGGCTCCTGGGCGCAGGGTCTCCAGGTTGGACGAGAAGGACATGCCTGGTTCATGTCAGTGACAGGTTCACATCGTGAAAAACGCCAATCAATTCCAATCATCCGTCATCCAGGAAGTATCGAGACGCAGGTCTGCATGTCCCAAGGGACAATTAATGGCGTTTCTTCTGGATCAGTTCCTTGTGTCATTTTCCAAAAGCGTCAGTTCCGCTTGGATTGGCAAGGGGGGCAAGGACTAAACAAGTGTGTCTCACTCCCTATAAGTCAAAGACATCATTTTACTGGAGATGGTCATACAAAACCAATACATACTGAGGTTTTAAAAAAAGAACAGGTTTTACTGGGTCTTTGGACTTGCAGGGACTGGGAAGTACATGTTCTTAGTTTCTAGGCGCAAGCGGACAACCTGGATTCATCCCCTGCGAACGAAGTCCAGCAAGGTCTTGGGCGGACGCGTTCTGTCGTGTTGAACATGTTTCATTGGTACACGCTCAATTCATTCAACAAATCCGACCTCACAAAAAAAATACCGAAAGTGGCATGTGCGGAGCGCGCCTACTAACCTCAGCTGCGATTGCTGCTACTACTCCTACTCCTACTTCTACTCCTACTGCTACTAACCCCACCCATTTCCCATGCAGCCAAAACCATCTGAGTCATCGGCTGTAGCGCCGACAGCAACGGTGTCTCATTGAGCTCGGCGTTGACCTGTTCTTTCGCCGGGTCAGCTCGGATCAGACCCAGTACAGCTGAACACCGCAGTTTCCATGGAACAGACAACACATACTGTACTGAACTGGGTCAAGTACAGCTGTAGATGAGGTGTACTTATTAGTATCATGTGGAGGTGGATGAGGTGTACTTATCAGTATAGGTGTACTTCTATGTGGATGAGGTGTACAGCTTGTTCATATAAAAAACTATTAACCAGTCAAGTCTTTTCCACCTACGAATCCCCAGAAGAACATTGAATTGAAGGTGATGC